CTATGTTTGGAATTGAAAGTCTAGAAATGATTAACCTAGAGGGGAGTGAATTATTTTTTGAAACTTTTTCCAAAATTAATTCTAGATATAAACCAATATGATAGTAAATATGTCAATTAAACAAATAGACACAAATAAGATAGTAAGTAAAGACTAAATTGATAAATTCAAATAATAAGCGCAACTATAAAAGCAATAATTAAAAGGGAGAGAGAATGCAAATGATATAATTGTGGAGGTTCAACTCAAAATAATGATCTACGTCCTCCGTTATCAAGCTCTCTGGTACGAGCAAGGTCGTTTCACTATGTTGATTGACTTATGGTGCAATCCAACCCTTTAAAACGCTTTCGATGACTTATAAACAAGGAGCACCGATCCTGTACAAAGTTGAGATTTACGGGACCTCACAGAACCCCCACTATTGAGCTTTACAAAATCTCAATATAATCCACACAGTGACTTACAACAAGGAGCACCAATCCTTACACAATGTTGAGCTTTTCCGATCCTCAACACGACCCACACTTTATCAAAGTGATTTTACAATCAAATTTTCTCTTAATAAATAATACAAAACAAATTAAGTACTAAGAGAGAATAACACTTCAATGAATAGTAACAAATGATAGCTCGAGTGTTAGATGAAAAATTTTGATGAAAATGACAATTAAAAATTAGGTTCAACCAATCAAAATATTTCAATGAGAAGATGAAAAAGAATTAAATGCAATGTAATTTAAATAATTTTCTCAATAAATATATCTCTTTTAATGAATTATTATAATAAATCAAGTACTAAGAGAGAAATGAGAAACTTTGATGAATATAATATTTTTACAAGTTTAATTCAATCAATCAAAAAATTTTAATGGGAAGATTAAGATGAAGTAAATACTATGTAAGTTCAAAAAGATCTTCTCAAGAAATATCCCTTTTTAATGAAAGAGTGTAATAAATTAAGCACTAAGAGAAAAATATGAAACTTTGATGATATGATAATTTTACAAATTTGATTCAATCAATCAAAGTTTTCAATATGAAGAAATTAAAAAGTTTATGCAATATAAGTGCAAAGAACTTCTTCAAGAATATATCTCTCTTTAAAAATTGATAAAAATAAGTTGAGTACAAAGATATATGAAAAACTTTGATGAAGGAAATGATTCAAGAAATTTAATTCAACAATCAAAATTTACAATATGAAGAAGTATAAATATTCATGTAATATAAGTGCAAATACTTTCTTCAAGAATATATCACTCTTTTAAGAATGATATAAATAAGTTAAACACAAAGAAAGTTGAAAAACTTTGATAAGAATGATGATTAAGGAGTTTGAATAAATCATAGTTTTTGATATAAAGAAACAAATGAAATGAATGCAAAGGAAAGCTCAAAGAATTCTTGAAACAAAAATATCTCACTTTGATATACTTGGAAATCTATTGAAGAATGGAAAGAGTGAGGATATTTATAAACTTCAAAAACGAAAAAGAAATCTGTATTTGTGGAAGACTGGTCCAATCGACCGTCTCTTGTTCGGAAGATAAATATAATTGTTTGTACCGCAAAAATCAGAAGTTAGAACGGTCAAATTTCGGACCGTTGGGGGAGTTCGGTCGATCGCCTCCTAAGGTTGGTCGACCGCCCCGACAACGCAGTATTTTTATGTTTTGGCCCCATTTGTTTCAATTTGAAAGTTTTAAAGTGCATGAACCTTTGAAAAATAATTTTAACTAATTTTTCATAATAAAATTGTTTTTTAGAGTCCAAATATTACTTTTAAAAATCATTTTTATATTTGATCAAAACGTTATATTGGAATAAAATGCACAAAAATTATTTTTAATGCATAAAAGGATTTTGAGCATAACCCTTCATTGTCAAATATCAAAGTGTTAGTACATTTATATTTTGCCTAAGAAATCAAGTCTTTGATCTTCCTCAGAAGTTTCTTCCATGTTTGGCTCTTGAACTTTTGATCTTTATCTTTCTTGTCATTAGTTTTCAATGCTTGACTTTTCATGGCATTTATCTTTTAAGCTCTGTCTCAAATGATTTGACTTAAATGCATAAACAACTCTCAATTTGATCTTCATTTCAAGTTCAATATATATTGCTTAATAGATTTTAACATTGAACTATCATCACTCAAAATAAATTGTTAGAAACAATATTAATCTTATTTGTTATGATCAAAATATTGAGAATGAAATCAATCATAGGTCAACCGAAGTCACCTTCAAAAATATCCAAAAGTTCTCCATTATCGTAGCAATCTTATACAATACTAGCTTTACTTGAATTTTCTAATTGTTTTTACTTATGATTTGTAGAAACTGATTTATTCTTATTCTACAACTTATAACAATCATTCTTAAAGTGTTCTTGTCTCTTACAATAATTACAGACTTTATTACTCTAATTAGACCTTGATCAACCTTAAATTTCCTTTATCATACTTAACCTCCAAAGGTTCCAAATCAACGGTGATTTCCATAAAAATAGTTAGATGATCCTCTAGTGATGTACTTTCTATCATACAATGATAATACAATTGCTGCTTCAAGTACAATTTGCTAGTTAGACTTTTCGTCATACATAACAACTCCAATTTAAACTATAATGCAGCTGCAGATTTCTCCTTCAAAACGTCCTAAAGAATATTATTAGAAAGATGAAGATATATCTGTGATAGGGCATTTTAATCCTTATTTTGTCTCTCCTCCGTACTTCAAGTTGATGGCATCTTGTCAAATCTCAATAACGCATCATCCAAATCCATCTGAGCAAGCACTACTTGCATCTTTACCTTCCAAATCAAAAATATGGTGTTGCTATCCAATGACCAAATATCATACTTCATAGTGACATAAAAAAAACAAAAAACAAAACAAAAAAATCAAGCCTCAAATTGAGTTGATTGAACCTCACTTTGATATCATTTGTTAAGAATTATGTACTAAGCAATACCACATAGTAAATAAGGGAATGAGTATAATATGGCAATATGAAAATCAAATAAGAAAACAAGATTAACGTGGTAAAAATATACCGCGAGCAAAAGAAAAAATTTATTAGTATCAATAATGGAGGATCAAGGTGCCAACGAGCTCCAATTTGATGTTTCCTTGTTCAACCTCAACTTGGACTCCTTCAAGACCTCTTAAAATCTACTACAAATTCCCAAATTGAATTCCAATTTAATTTCACAAATAGACTTCAACTAGAATTTCCCAATAGGCTTCAAATAAAATTCCCAAGTAGTCTTCCAAATAGAATTTCATACCCTAATTCTGACAAATCATTAGAATAATTAAATGAAACATATATATTCTAGCAGCAATAGATCAAATATGGTAAAAATTGACCTCTTTAGCAGGGACAAAACTTAAATCCTCATATTAAATAGATAATACTTAAAAGTACAAACCAACACACAATTAACGAGATGTGTAGGGAAATGGTTGTTTGTCAATAAACAAAGTAATGGTTAAGTTCAATTCATAGGAGCATAATTAAAATATGTAAATTAGAAACGAAAAGAAATAAGGAGAATGAAAAGAAATCCAAGGCAAGTGATTACACTTATTCATTAAGACAAAATTATCCAACAACGGTGCTAAGGGATTACGGCAAATTAATCTTCTATAGGATAGGCAAGGACCCCAGGACTATTAGCTTCTTTCTTCCCCATGTCCTGCGATTTTCCTCTTTTGTGGCATCTTATAGTAAGATCACCCGTCTGGGGACAAATGTCCTTCTAAACCAGACTTGTCTCCCAAGATACAACTTGTAGTAGAAGCACTTCAAATCATAAGCAATAGCGAACTCGAATGAATTTTTTTCTCTCTACAAGAAACTAATTTTGGAATGATTAATGGAGAGTTTTTACAAAAGATTTTGAGGTAATGCTCAATGCAAATGATATTAGATGCATAATAGAAGAAACACATCCAAAAACTCAACAACCGTCAAGAAAGGATGCATACCTTGCTGTCGCTAGCTTGTAACTGGCCTCACTCCAGCGCCAACAACATATTTTCAACAGAAACTTTTCGTCCACCTGCTGCTAGCCTATCCCTCTAGTGACAGCTTCGGCACTCAAGCGACAATGCTATAGGATTTTTCATCTTTTCTCCTCGTTTTTCATTCCAACTTTGAACCACAATTTTTCATTCATCCGAAATTAGTTTGGAGATTCCAAATATACTACGACAATGTACTTGATAAGTAAACTAAGTTTACTTTTATAATTTGATTATCGAATCAAGTCCAAATATTTTATTGAAGTTGACACAAAGTCAGTTTTCAAATTTATACTTGATCAAATTTTTCAATCTTCAAACAAAATTCCAACACACACATTGCACCCAGAAAGGCGCTTGTAATAGAACCTGCAAATGCACTCTGCCACTCTGCTCTTGAATTTTCTTCATGCCATGAACACATAAACTAAGCTCCCGTTTGGCCCTCATTATTTCTCATTAAATTAAATTAAATTTTTCTCTCTCCTATTTTTAACCACATAATTTTCAATAAAATAATATTACACGTAAATCAAAAACTTTTCTTTTCTTTTCAACCACTCATTTTTAAAAAAAATACTATTCAAAACATTATAATCTCCAAATAATGGGGCCCAAACGGTAAGTTCACCCAAAGGGTAAATATACGGCCAAAAAGAAAAAGAATGGGATAGTCTGATTCGAATTGAAATTGTGAGTCATCAATAACTTTATATCAAAGCAAGAATTCCTTTTGACCTGGGCATATCTCATTTCACGATTCAGATGGACTTTGACTTGACTGAAATCCTACAGCCAATCTGAAATCCTACTGCCAATCTACTTGTATCTCTCATTTCGATTTTGTTTAAATTGCCCCTTAAACAAATGTAACAGTACAAAGCAGATTTCACTAAATGGATAAACGAGGACAAAAAAGTTATTAATCTTTGGGTGATTATTTATTTGATAACTTTCGTAATCATATTGTGTATGTAACCACATGGAGGTTTTATTTGGGAGGGAGGATTGTCCTCAATAATCCAGATACAAACAAAAGCACAAGGTTATGGAGAATTCAGTGCTAACCAATGCTTTGCTTTGGGAACCAGGCACGGCAAGAGGAGGCTGCTCTACCCGTGACAAATGGTTTGATTCGACATTCCTAAGAATCAGAGGGATCTTACATGGAAACGAAGTGATTTACAAACAAGAGCCTAGTACAAAACCAAATCTAGTACAGCGGTCACCAAGATTATAAAAACTGAATGTTGAAAAGCACACATAAATAACTACTCCGGACAATTATAGTTGTACTGCCGAAAACTCTCAAATTATGCAGGGTCTTGGTTACATGCCCCAAATGCCACGAGCTGATGCCACTTTATTGCTTGGTCGAGATGTTAATTCGTACAATATTCGAGCAAAGGTGTCAGAGTATCTCGTCTCTGTGAAAAGCATCTCTGCAAATGCATTTTCATATGCTAACAGCAGGGGCTTGTTCTGAGGCTCAGATACAAGATTCTCCAAAATTAATGCCGCTTTCCTGCAGACTTCTGGTACTGGGTGTGGTGTCTTGATCACTTTCATCAGCCGATCAACTGCCCTGAAACATACCGCAAACACAAGTCTAACAAATGAAGAACCTACAGGTATTTAGCATATAGAAATATATGAGTTGATCTAACCATCTCTCGCTAGCGAGTTTTAACCGGCAGTCCATATTAATTTCTGCAAGGTTGTATAGTGCACCAACAGCAGCTGCTTGAGCATCACCAGCTGGGAAGCTCATAATATCAACTAATCGCTTGTAGATCTGCGGTTTTCATTATTCTTGTTTAAAGCCAACTAAGTTAATGTTACAACAAAACTTAAACATGATCGGAGACAGTGTTGACCTGTGGAGCAACTGGTAGAAGGAAAGGTTCATTATCAGGATTAAGAATCAAACGCCCAAGTAGTTCTGCAGCAGCACAGTGCCAGGTTCTAACAGCAGATCCCAACATTCCCATGATGGCCTGGATTGCACGTTTTTCTCTGACAGGGCATTTACCACAGATTTTCAGCATGTGAATTATTGAAACGTTTATGAAACAAAATAGAAAATCGAAATCTCACGTTATTTTGATATATGAAGGCTTTGATGAGCTAAATATTCGAAGGTCTAGCAAATGGCCCAGATTCATGATTGTCTCTAGGGCATTTGTGACAAGCTCTTCATCCTCTGCCAACGTTTAAGGCATGTTAGAAGAATGCAAAGCAGAAAACATAGAAATGGATAAAGAAACGTGCTACAGAAGCATCCTAGGAAGAACCAAATCCTGTAGTATTGCTCAGTAGATTCTCTCCTAGGTCATCAGTATCACCTTAAAAAGTGATGCATGATAATACACAAAGTGAAAAACCTTTTCAACAATAGGAAAATAGAGTCATGAAAAACTTGCAAAAACACAAAAGAAAGTTAATGACGTGTTGAATCTCTTTTAACCTATGACATAATCTTCCAGGCACTGAAACATTGTTTCAAGGCAATGACGATTCTGGCCCATTGCAACTTCATTTTCCGGCATAAAAGAAAAGTTGCGAATAATATTTGAAGCAGCAACAGCACACTGCTGCTTTTCTGCCCGCCCTTCCTCATCCAGATTAAAGATGCCATCTTCCTCAAACCACCAGCCTGAAGGGAAAGGCTTGGTAGCAATCTTTCGTGCAGACGCATCCTTATTGGCAGAACCAGATCTGGTGACACCATGAACGCAAACAGTTATCAGCTTCTCCTCAAATATCATCAATGTTACGAATCCACATCTCAAATTTACGAAGTTTAATTTCTTTGTGCCTTACTTAGGTTGTGGAATGGAATCACCAGAGCTCAAGGTCTCATATTCATTCCCAAATCCAGTAACAGTGGAATTTGTACCCAGCAATCTCACTCTTGGCTTCTTCATAAGAACCCTTGGCAGGTTTATATCACGCCAGTCATCGATCTGCTCTTATTACAATTGATTTCGTCACATTAGCAGGGTAAAATACATAATTACATACAGACAATAAAAAGGAGCGAACATATTGAATTGCCAGGTGAAAGACTTACAACTTGAAGTAGAGCATCGAGCAATCCAGGAATCTTGGCAAGAGGAGTTGCATCTTTACGAATTTCATCTTTCTCTTTAAATGAGAGCAATGTGAGAGCATTTAAGGCCCATGTCAACTCACTCTTCAATCCACTTTGAAGAGCCAAAACTATCCGTTTATTATTCTGCTCTGGTAAAGCAATAACAGAAGATGCGAATACACATGCATGAGAAATGGTAAAGCTATTGCAATCATTTCAAATACGACTGGTATTTGAAGTTCTATTGCACACATCACTTTAATTTCTGAGTATAGATCCCCATCCTCCACCAGGAAAACGAAAAACGAAATAAAGAAAAAAACAGAACGCCAATTCGGTGGTCCCTCAATAAAAACAAGATCTCACAATCTGGAGAAAGAAACCTCCAGATAAAGCCCTTCAGTTTATGAAATTCTTTTACCTACATCCATGAATTTTAGTCCCAACCAACTAGATAGAACCGGAGCTTAGAAAGGCAACCGTTGAATGCCCAACAAGGTCAAAGCTTTCAGTGTATTTGTTCTGTAATAGACTATCGAGTAATAAATAAACAAACTTAACAGATCTATAATGTCTTTCCTCTAACCTAGTAGATGTAATCGGATTTATAGTTTCTTTCCAAGAAGGTTAATGGCTCTCTGCCTCTCTTTTTCTAATTTGTATACAGTTGTCAAACTAAAGGACGAATCACATTCTCTTTCATTTCATATCCATTAGTGGAATAGCACGAATATCACAACTCCTTTTACAAATTAACCTAATTACTTAAATCATAAAACCCTAATCATGAACTGGCACCAAGCTCCTTAAAACCCCAACTGTTCTTTTAATTAGCACTTAATCTTAAAACAATTTCTATTATCCAAACCAAAATTCAAGGATTTTATCATTCGCCTAAATATTTGACCAGACCTGGATACAATAAATTGCAGTTGTGATGCTGTTGTATCCGTGCACGCTCATGAGTTTGTGTGTGGAAAAGAGAGAGAGATAGAGAGAGAGAGAGAGAGAGACTAGGGCTATAGATGAAACTTACCAGCGAAAGCAGAGTGAACTTGGAGAGAAGGGCCGAGTAGAGTGGAAGGAGCGATGGAATCACCTGACGTTGCCGCCGCCGCCGCTGCCAAAGCGCTGTTGCTTCCGCTGCCGAATGGGCGGCCTCTCTTGGGGGCCGGAATGGCGGAGCCGCCGAATGCTCCGCCTTGCTTGCTCTGCTCTCTCTTCTGCATCTCTCTCTCGTCTCTACCTTGGTGCCTGCGCAAGCGGGGGTTATTTAAGGGTGAATTCCAAATTTAATCACCAAACTTCGTTGAAAGTAGCAATTCCGTCCCAGCTATTTTTTCGACGCAATCCCATCCACTGAAGACGGCGTCATCCTAAAAACCTGTTAAAATAGGATAAAAAGATAATCTCCCTTTGCATTAGAAGAAAAAAAAATGTAAATAAATATATTAGAACCTGTTTGAACACCATTATTTTTTAAGAATGTATTTTAAATAATAAATTGATGAAGATTGTATGGTTAAAAAGTAAGAAAAATTTATGCATTTGCGTATAATATTATTTTATTGAAAAATATTTGGTTGAAAATAAAAGAAAAAATATATTTCGAAAAGTGGTCACTCTATTGTCTGGGTATGACATCTGAAAATTAAATCGAGAGGGTGTCAATTGTAGAAATGTCAAATCAATCAATTGGATGAAAATTATTTGGATTGAGACGAAGCTATGGAAGATGCCTTGGATAATGAAGGCACATCGCTTCGAAAATATGTTGCAACAAACAGCAGGGCCTCCATTCGGACATAGAGGTTCGACCTCCTCATGTCGTTTGGACAGGGCACTTAACTCCTTTGTGCTTCCTCTATTGATGGCCACGATTATGTCAAGTAAGAAAATTGATGTGGTGTGCAAGCCTTTAGCTTTTGCTATTCCTTAGCTGCCTGCCATAGTCAATAATAACAGATTCATACGATGAGGCATAACAATGGTCCCCACATCTCAACATGAATATTTATATAAGTTGTGGACTTTCGTAGGAGAGTGGTGCAAATAATATATTAGAAGAGAGGGCTTACGAACTAGCTCTAAAGTTCAACTTAGCTGAGGTGTTGCAGTGATTGATGTTCAATATCCGATAACCGTGGTTGGAATATAATGATGATATGACATGTTTTTCTATGATTGGCAAAGCGTCAAAGTGTATTGTAGTATTACTTATTTCGAGGTGACATTAGATGAAGTGAACAATTCCCTATGTCCAAGCATGTATATTTATATAATACATGGGCCCCTTAATTGATGACGAGGCCTACGAGTCGAGACGATGTGTAATGAAGTGAAGTTACTTTGCATCGACAAGAGCAAGTATAAGGGTGAACTCTCAATTTGGGATAAGAACTTTCATGGAAAAAAGCATTGTTGCTGAACGAAATCCTATGTTTCGGGGATGGGGTCCCTATACATGGAGATAACATAGTTGCAAGGATGAATTCCCATGTTCCAGGATCAAGACCTTTCATTTAGGAGGATTGTATTTGCATAGGTAAATTCCATTTTGCAAAGACAAGGCCTCTGAAAGTAAACGAATGGTAGATTCAAAGTGGTACATCTAGTGTGAAAGAACATTAATGAAACAAGTGCAACGATTGAAAAGGTTGCATGTTTTCAAAAAATTGCAATGAAGGCATTGGTTGGTTTCAATACGCGTTATGCCAAGCATTTAATGTACACTGATGCTTTGGCCTTACATTTTATGAGGTGACACGCCTCTATGCATACGTGAATTGCATAGTTTCGTCCTAGCCGTTAATTCAATTTAAAAATGATACCCTTTCAAGTCAATAGTTCGAATGAGTTCCATATTTTGATAAGAGAACTCCGACGACTAAATTGAAATTTTGGTAAGTTATTTTGGAGATTCAATCTAGACTTTAGCAACGAAACAAGGTTTAGGTTACGACTTCTTTAGATTTCCGCTCTTCCATAATCGATTTTCATTTCTCTTTTTGAAACACTAAATCTTCAGAAATGACTTCCTGTACCAATGAGGGTTCCAATCAAGGATTGATGAAGGTAGCATCTAATGTTGGAATGTCCTACGTTATGACCTTTGAGGAGATCATTGAGGCAATGAGGTTGAGGCATAGTGTATGTACAATACAGGAGGACCCAATAGACTATAGCACCAAGTGGGGACGCTGCTGAGGTGCCCTTGAATATTACAAAGAAAAACTTAGATAAACTTGGGGCATATTTTAAGATCCCTGATACCATTGACCTTTTGCTGTTCGAACCATATGAGAAGGGTTGCTATCTGAAGTCGAGTTGTGTGGCCGTAAGCAAGACCATCCTTAAGATAATGTTGCGTCTGCCTCCGTACTGATTCTTTCGGGGCTGTTGAAATCATATATTTTAGCACCAAAAAAATTGCATCCAAACTCATGGAGCCAAATGATGGAGGTTTAGAAAGAGGTCTCTCTGGGTATGGACAATCCCCTCTACATGCGTCAAACTATTTTCCACCCCTAGCTCATGACTTTACACATCTTATTGATTGAAGGACTTGTTGGGAATCTACTTATACATGCACAGCGGAAATTTAATAATTTTCGATTCCCATCCAATAGATCTCATTGTGTTTGGTTAGGGATTGTGATAAGATTGTACCTTTTGTCAGATCTGCAATCTTTTTGCTTTTCTTTTCGTTCCATCAACCTTGATTTGCCACCACAGCTGTCCAATTGTCCAGCCTCCAACGGTGATCCACACAGAGAATATGATTGCAGCCTCTAGGGTTTTCTCTTGTGCCAGCAAGAATAATAAAAACCTTAATGGACCTCAAACCCTAGTTATGTATTTATATAAACCCAAACAGGCTCGGTCAGGTCCGGTCCAATGATTAATTAATCCAATTAATTAAACCCGGTCCGTGAATTAATTAATTCAATTAATTAATTCAATTAATTAATTCGAAAATATAAATAACAAATCCAATTAATTAATTTATTCAACGATTGTTAAATTAACCAATTGGCAATTTGCAATCTTCCAATTCTCTTTTGTGTGTGACCCATTAGGTTCCCGACCACGATGCCTAACGACGTGAAATATTATTTTGATCTAATCAAAATTGATAAATTAAAACATCCTTTTAATTTATCGTCAATTCACATTCGCCGTCCCTGATTGACATCTAGCAATGTGTCAGGGCAATACATGTGACGGGAAATGTCACGTGGTATGACAAAACCAAATTCGTTCGTTTACCGTGAAACTATAATCCCTTCGTCAATATGATCCGATCAATTACGAGATATGGAGTTGTGTCAATCTCGATCATCGATCATATCTTTCACTCCACTATTAAGTCAATATAAATCGAAAACTCCTTTTCGACTTATGAGTACACCTCGACCAAGGATTTGATCATTGACTTAATTGGATGAAACGCAGATCATAATCTCCTACTATCTAAGAGTGACGAATCCTTTATTGATCAATCACAACCTTCATACGATTCTTGACGTACCCGAACGATTTCGTATTAGCGGCCCTTTTCAGAGCAACATCCAACACCGCCAAAGTATGACTGTCCTCATATAAGGTACCATGACGACCTCAAGTCAAAGGACCAATTTCACTACCGAACGTTAGAGATTAACCACCGACACTCAGATAGTTATCCATGTGGAATCTCTCGACGGGTCTCCAATGTTTTGTTCTATAACAAACATCCACGTGTTCACTTAAGTGTCACCACACTTTAACTTGTGAGATCAGCTACTTACTTCACAAGTAAGAAATGCCACACGTGATGGTCTATCCGTAATAACGATATCCGTATCTCGTTATTACTTACGACCATGGTTTATTCAAGATCCAATTATATGTAATTTGTATCTCACAATCACAACTCCTTGTGATTAACAAATTACAAATATTCGAATCTACGGACTCTATTATTTATTTAATTGTCTATTAATTAAATAATAGATCTGCCATTTAATTGCATTAATTATATATAAAAATATTTATGTCCAAAGTTGATTGGACCTAGGGCATAATACTTACAACGCTAATGTGATATTAATTGATATACAGAATTAAATGAATTATTTAATTCCACCGTTCGCTTAACCAATCATTTAGTGCCACCTAAATTGGGTTGCAAATCCTGTGAGATTACATAGTATTATTCATTTTTTTTACATATTAAGTCCCCGTTTAATTTCCATTCTTATAAGAATGAGAATGAAAAATACAGTCGTTATTGAACCCACATAAGAGAGAGGAAGTCAAATATGATGGTTTGAAGTGATGGATAATGATCATATTTATCATTTATAGGGACAAAGAATGAGAAACAGACGGGAGTTAAGTGCTTATTTGATACAGATTTTAAGCAAATTAAAATCAGTTTTTTATCGTTATTTCACTATTTCAATCGTAATCTTTAAATTCTTCTCCCATAGATAGGACTCACTTTATCTCTAACGATCAAAAAATCAATTATTAAAATCTCTATCAAACAAACACTAACTCAACTTTTAAAAAAAAAATCCATGGTCACGTTCTCAGTCCGTCAATGCATTAACTACTATTGGTGCTTAAGTCAACATTGGAAGCACCCATTTGCAAATATATTAAACATTTAACTACGATTTAGATGTAAACTTGGATTTAATTATAATGATTACCACTTTGTTAGGCACTTGTCACGTGGTAACGATACAATTATTTACGGAACTGGTGAGCACAGGATCCTCCCTCCCATTTATATAAAAATAAAGACAGCTGGTTTATCTTGGAAGAGAAATTATCATAAACTAAAAGCTGTCATTTGAAAAATTGTCTGGTAATTAATGATGTAACAAAAAATTTGGAAATATGATGCGGTGTCCATTCTTATAAGGGGATCTACTTTAAATAAATTATATTCTATACGGTGTGTGTCCTTTTTGAGTTCCTACAAGAGGTACAATGCTAAGATTAAGTTATTGTTTTTATTTTCAAGTGGGTATAGATTTACTTGATCTGGATGTTGCGATTTTTCACAACTTTTTTGGGTTTTCTAAATAATTATTGTTGAAAATTTGTTTTTGCGTAGGAGTGGGCATGGGTAGTGCTGGGTCAGTTTTTGGCCCCAACCCAACAAGGTGGCTCGATATAAAATCAAACCAACCCAACCTTGGTAAATACTGAAACCCAACCCAATCAAGTTTCGGTCGAGTCGGGTTGGGTTGGTCGGTTTGATATGAAGTAAAACTAGTAATGGAATTCTTTGAATTCTAGATAAAGATATTACCTGAAAATGCTAAGCTGTTGTGTCAAATCTTTGATCTTGAGGCTATAGACAGTTTG